TAGTACAGTTGTTTACCCTAAGTAGTATACTTTGTAGTAACTATTTGGACAGGAAGTAGCAGACATCTGTCCAGGGTCACCTCTTATAGTGGGTATCAACCATCAGGGATCATTAATCAGGACCCAAGAAGTGGGGAATCGAACCCCATAACCATGCTACCTGTTTTGTGCATGAATACCTTAGTTGGTCTAAGACTTAACAGTAGGTCAAACTACCACTAAGACATTGCACCTTCAGCTTTACCATCTAGGATGATCATTTAGCCATTACTGATCCCAAGTGGTATTGTGGAGTGACCACCTGGATAGGAAATCCCTTCAAGGTATAGTAGTGACTTCAAGGATAGGACTGCGCACATGCCAGTGGCCTCATAGGAAACGTTAGAAGGACATCATGACCCTTAGTTAAAATGTGCAGCCTAACCATACACATTAATTCACCATGATGCAGTCCAACTACACTAATCCCTGTAGTTTCACGCTATTAGTTGTAGCGTCTGCAGTAAAATTTGTTTTATTTCTGTGATCAGCGAAATTAAACTAGCGACCTTTAAGGTTGCTTGCCGAAACCTAGGGGTTTAGGCAAGATGGCGTTTTGCCGAAAAGTGAAATTCTGCCGAAACTATATTAAAGTTATATTAAAAAACTGGCAAAACTTTGGAGAAAGGCGAAACTGCTGAAACTTATTATAAATGCTGAAACTGCTGAAACTCTGCCAAAACTATAATAAATATATAGTAAAATTTTGACAAAACTAATCGTAGGATTTTAAAGAGGTTTAAACAAGCAACCTTAGCGACCTTACTATACTCAGGCTATATGAGGAAGTGCCGCCTTAACGACTGCACTAGAGTGATTAGCCCTTTTAGTTTTATCCTTTTATTTTGCTAGTGTTTACGGCCAAACTTTTCTCTACCTCTTTTTGAGGTATCCTCAGACTAATATCCTATTATTTCCAGAGGTAACCATTATACCGAGTACTTAATTCCTCAGGTAACAGCACCTATATAAAAAACATTTCCTATCAGGCCACTTTTAAGGCTGATCTAAAGCTAGGAATACGCCGCCTACTCATCCTATATCCATTGCATGATACTGGTACTCAATTTATTTTACGACCTTTTATAGAGCACCTACTTTCATAGAGGACTTTTGACAGGTAACATCAATCATCTAGTACCCTTCCATACTACCATTTTAGGTACTAAGTCTCATTTAAAGGCCACTACAGCCCGCGATTACTCAGTACTGATAGTACAGTTGTTTACTTCAAATGGTATACTTTGTAATAACTACTTAAACAGGAAGTAGCAGGCATCTGTTCAGGATCACTCCTTATGGTGGGTATCAACCACCAGGGATCACCAACCAGGACCCAAGAAGTGGGAAATTGAACCCCATAACCATACTACCTGTTCTGTGCATGAACATCTTAGTTGGTTTAAGACCTAACAGAAGGTCAAACTACCATTAAGATATTGCACCCTCAACTTTACCATTTAGAATGACCATCTAGCCATTACTGACCTCAAGTGGTATTGTGAAATGACTATCTGAACAGGAAGTCCCCCTAAAATACAATAGTGACCTCAAGGACAGGACTGCGTATATGCTAATAGCTTCATAGGGAATATTAGAAAAACACTATGACTCTTTGTTGAAATGTGCGGCCTAACTGTACACACTAATTCACCATGATGCAGTCCAACTAAACTAATCCTTGTACTTTCACGCTATTGGTTGTAACGTCCACAGTAAAATTTGTTTTATTTCTGTGATTGACAGAATTGAACCTGTATACTCAGGCTATATGAGGGAGTGCCACCTTAACGACTGCACTAGGGTGAACAGCCCTTAGTTTTATCCTTTTACTTTGCTAGTGTTTACAGCCAAGTCTCCTCTACCTTTTTTTGAGGCATCCTCAGGCTAGTATCCTATTTATTATATCCATAGGCAACCATTATACCAAGTACTTAATTCCTCAGGTAACAGCATTACTATTGAAGACATCCTCCATCAGGCCACTTTTAAGGCTGATCTGAAACTAGGAATATGCAGCCTACTCATTCTATACTCATTGCATGATACTGGTACTCAATTTATTTTACGACTTTTAAAGAGCACCTACTTTCATGGAGGATGTTCAACAGGTAACATCAACCATCTAGTACCGTTCCATACCACCATTTTAGATACTAAGTCTTACTCAAAGGCCATTACAGCCCGTGATTACCTAGCACCAATAGTACAGTTGTTTACCTCAAGTGGTATATTTTGTAGTGACCACTCAGACAGGAAGTAGCAAACATCTGTATAGGATTACCCCTTATGGTGAGTATTAACCACCAGTGATTACCAACTAGAACCTAAGAAGTGGGAAATCGAACCCCATAACCATGCTACCTGTTCTGTGCACAAACACCTTAGTTGGTCTAAAACCTACTAACAGAAGGTCAAACTACCACTAAAACATTGCACCCTCAGCTTTACTATCTAGGACGACCATCTAGCCATTACTGACTCCAAGCGGTATTGTGAAATGACAATCTGGACAGGAAATTCCCCAAGGTATAGTAGTGACCTCAAGGACAGGACTGCGCACATGCCAATGATCTCATACTAGGGAACGAGTTTTATCTTTTTATTATGCAAACAGTCTTAAGACTTTATCTTTTATTTATATTTTAATTTCGAAATCAAGGGATTCGAACAATACAAAATAAGAAAATAAACTAATAAAAAATAAAAAGAGTAGCTTCACAACTCATACAAATAAAGAAATCTAAACTAAAACAAGTTAAAACAAAGAAAACTAAACTATTACAGAATCGCATACCCTAACTTTACCCGAAGGCCAGTGTGAGTCAACTATCCAACATCCAAAAATCCAGTCCGTTACCAGAAAGTAATCCTAAGAGGTTGAACTGTTAAGCGGCACAGATAATCCAAGTGCAAGATCCAAGAATTATAGAAGACGATATCTAAGAAATCCAGAAATCCAGAAACTATCGCTAAAGAAGAGTTGTGATGATGAGAAGAAATAATAGAGGAAGAAGTGGTAGAAGGGCCTCAGATTTTTGAGGATTCACTAGTAGAGCTAGCTGAATTTATCTTTAACTAAAGTTTTATATGTAAATTCTGTCTGACATAAAATGTTGTAAAATTTTGTAATTTAATAGGGTAAATTCATCATTCACCAAAGCGCTGTATGTAAATTTCCGATACAAAATGATAAAATTGATATTTATAAGATACAAAAGAAGAGAATTAAAGAAGCTTTAAAATAAGCATAAAGAAAGGTAATAAGAAAGAAAAACAAGTTAAAGTGATTGATAAGGAACTAGCGCAATTAGCGCAATAAGAATACAGGATGGATAAAATCAGCGGGTAAAACTCACGATGTCTAAAAATCAGAAGCAGCAGGATAAGTATGTGAGTCAAACCAAGGTGCACAAACATCTAATAAAAATAAGATATCACAGGGTTTAATATGGCCAAGTTTGAAGAAGAAGCGTGTATCACTATTCCAAAGATGTGAAAATGTCGAAGAAGAAGCCGATTTGGTGATAACAGATTGGATAGCATCTCGAAGATATTTTTGCAATACTGAGAAGGTGTAGTGCTTGGAAATGATTAACCAAAGAAAGTTGTGAGAAGGTACGTAAATGGAAGCACTATTCAAGAGTATTTTTCAGACCATCACAGGTCGAAATGCTAAAAATCGGCAAAAAAAATGGCGCGAAAAGCAGTGGCTATTCTTGGCTATTCTTGGCTGTTTTTGGCTATTTACGAATTAACCTATACTATTTGTAAATAGTTTATACAAATTTGCGAATAGTTTATGCGATTTGCGCCATTTTTTTTGCCTATTTTTGATCATTTGACGTGTGGCATATTAATAATGGAATAACTAAAGCCAAGAGTTTTAAAATCTTGATAATTAATAGTAGGACAGTTCAGGCTAACAAAAGGACCAGAATTTGGTTTGTCAGTAATAAGGTTACTTGTAACTACAGAGGAGGGATTTAAAACCACTTTTTGAATAGAACCTGTGAACTTAGAGGATACAAACACAACTGAGAAGTGATGGGAGCGTTCTTTCAAACAAAAGGAAACATCAGGGCGTGAGGATATTAAGTTATATACACTCAGGACAATTGAGTAATCAGTAGTAGACATGGTCAAATTGTAAGAAAAAGGTGGAATGACAACGGCATATTCTTTAGTAGCCATCCACATAGAAGAGTCAAGAAGGTCAGAGTGAACAACATGCTGTGAAAATTTGCTCCAGTCTAAAAAAAGATCATTATGGCATTCTTGACGGGTGAGTTATTTCTTCGTAGGGTGGGAGATAGATTTGTGAATAGAGTATGAGATAAGAGTTTGTGCCGTAAGCGGGCCATTATCGTGTTTAAGAATATGATGAAAAGTGTAAGATTTGCGGTAGGAAACTCCTAGGCGTCGAGAAGTTACATCTTTATAGAAACTATCATCTTATCTTTTAGATACACGCTTACAAGGTAAGGTGAAAAGAAAAGAAGATGGAAAAGGAGGAGTTTGGATAAGTTTTTTGTCATGAATATGACAAGCATGACGAAACCGAGACATAATAACATAGGCAGTTGGAGTTTTGCAATGTGGGCAACCAAAATAAAGGGCAAGGTAAAAGCAAGATTAGTGATATCGAAATTGAATAAAAGTACGAGTTCGTCTATTATTTCGATGAGAAAATGACCAACGAGTAAGAGAAGTTACACATTACGTAAGTAAGAGTTGACGTAGTCTATTAAAATATTTGCGCTGAGCATGAGAAGGAATACGGTTCTGACGGTAAAAAAGAAAGTTAAAAATTTTGATAAAATAAATTTCAAATTAGGAGAAGGTCAGTCCGATATAAATTAAAACGGATTAACAGTTGAAAGGAGAGGAGAATTGGTATGAATTGTATAACAATTATTCAAATCAGGAGTAGGGTTCAAAAAGAAGTAGCAATTGCCTCGTCAAATAAAATATAAACAATTAGATCCAACATTTCGAGCAGGTTGTATCCATCCATCTAGGATAGTACGTAACATGAAAGTGTATGATGAATGCTGTGTGTTATCATAAGGGAGGGCTGAAGCAGAAACTGAAGGTAAGAAATCCGCAGGTGTACAGTTTAAAGGAGAGACTGAGAGAGGAGCACTAATATCACTATCAGAGGTGTCAGTCGTAATTAAAATATGAGGAGTAGTTGTAGAAGAGTCAGGAAAAGATTGTTGAAATAGATCTACAGATCGGAGAGGACATGAGAAGGGTAGAACCAATGTACGTAATGTAGAAAAGGACAAAACCAAACGCGTAAAAGATAAATTCTTTTTAATTTTTTGTGCATGTTTGAAAGATGCAGGGAAAATCATAGGAAAGACGCATTTACAAAGAAATTTAGAAGTGCGCTGAATACGGCGTATATGATTGGTGCGTTGTAAAGAAGGGGTGCATAATTCTAAAATATCATTAGGATCAGCCTCGTGATTAGAGGCCAAATAGTCAATGGAAGGAAAGATGAATCATCATTGAAAGGATCATTACGTGACAGATGATCATAAACAGGAGGAGAAGTGATATCATTTTCCAAATCTGCAGTAGACAAAAAAGAGTCTAAACGTGAGTAGAGAAGGCATTTTTATTCAGAAAAAGAGTCATCTAATAGGCGGAGAGGGCCAAAAGCCAAGTAGACACGTGATTTAGCAGAAGAGTCATCAAGAAGAGAGTTGAAACGGACTAATAAAGTTTCTTATTTGAGAACACACTTAGCGCAAAGGTCTTCGACCTTGCAAAGTTTAGAAAGAACTTTATCCTAACTCAAGGTTGAGAAGTCGTGAGAAGAGGCCATTAGCCTGAAAAAAAGGTGGAGAGGAAAATTTAAAAGAAAAAGTAATAAAAAACTTTTTAAAAAAAATTATTTTATTTTTCATAAATATTGTCGTGAAGGCAACAGGAGAGAGTAGTTTTTAGTTTTATCCTTTTATTTTGCTAGTGTTTACGGCCAAGCCTCCCTCTACCTCTGTTTAAGGTATCTTTGGGCTAGTATCCTATCATCTCCATGGGCAACCATTATACCGAGTACTTAATTTCTCAGGTAACAGCACCACTATTGAAGATATCCCCCATCGGGCCACTTTTAAGGCTGATCTGAAGCTAGGAATACGCCGCCTACTCATCCTATACCCATTGCATGATACTGGTACTCAATTTATTTTACGACCTTTAAAAAGCACCTACTTTCATGGAGGACTTTCGACAGGTAACATCAACCATCTAGTACCCTTCCATACCACCATTTTAGGTATTAAGTCTCACTCAAAGGCCACTACAGCCTGCGATTACCTAGTACTGATAGTACAGTTGTTTACCCCA